TAAATTAGGCTCTGCTTAGTGGTTAATAAATAGGATAAATAAATATCTAGTTTGGTGATTTGGACGTCAAAACTTTGGTCATTTGGACGTCAAAAGTTTGGTCATTTGGACGTCAAAAGTTTGGTCATTTGGACGTCCAAAGTGACGTCATATCGACTTCGAAAATTAGGTTGTGAGGACGTAAGAATCCTTGCGTTAAACGTCCTCAACACGTCCTCAACACCTAAAATACGACGTCGCCGGACGTCCCATTGGTAATTATTGACGTCGTCATGACGTCCTAAGGACGACTTCTGGTTTCTAGGGTGCTTAACCGACCTAAAAATATTGCTCAACCGACCTAAAAATTTCGCTCATCCGACCTAAAAATATTGCTTAACCGACCTAAAAATATTGCTTAACCGACCTAAAAAATATTGCTCATCCAACCTAAAAATATTGCTCAACCGACCTAAAAATATTGCTCAACTGACCTAATAAAATTGCTCAACCGACCTAAAAAAAATTCTCAACTGACCTAAAAATATTTCTCATCCGACATTAAAATATTGCTCATCCGACCTAAAAATATTGCTTATTAACCGACCTAAAAATATTGCTTAACCGACCTAAAAATATTGCTCAACCGACCTAAAAATATTGCTCATCCGACCTAAAAATATAGCTCATCCGACTTAAAAATATTGCTCAACAGACCTAAAATGAATGCTTATCGAACCTAAAATTGTTGCTTTAACCTTAACCTAAAACATATTCCCAACTGACCTAAAATATATTAATAACCGACCTAAATATATTTCCAATCTTTAGGTCAGTTTGGGACATTTCGCTAATCGAACCTACAGATTTTTAGGTCGGAAAAACGTTAGGTCGGAAAAACGTTAGGTTCGTTTCCTCTAGGTTCGATGAGCGGGTACCGTACGTATAAGTACTTTACTTTTTCTCTGCATCAAACAAAACTAGCCAGCCAGTTATTGAATTTAAGGTATCGATAGGTGTTAAAATATTTCGAATTATTTTAGTTCATCGGCCCGTAATAGACTTTAAGAGCTTTAAGAAAGAGATTCAAACTGTTGAGAGAGTTGAGAAAGTACATAATAACTTAAAACAAGCAATTTTCTGTGCGTCTGATACTCGAATATTTCTTTGTTTTTTGAAACGGTTGGGTTGGGTTAAGACAATTTCTGAGACAGGCTCGGTCAAGTTTAAATCTTGAAATGCGTCGAGCAGATCGTGCATGGACAAAGAAGATCTAAATATACGCAGTTTGTACTTCATTGCCTATAATTCAGCGAGTTCAGTTTTTAACTTAATGCTTGTTTCGCCGCTAGAGGCGCTAAAAGCGTCAAAATATCAGCTGATTTAGTTTCTTTTGCTTTCATTTTCAAAATATTGATGTTCGGTAAAATATTACTCCGCTTAGCAATTAACAAAACTTACTAAGAAAAATAATTGTTTGAAATTAATCCAAAGTTAGGATTCGAATTGGTGTTAAGCTATAGTTTTTATATAAATTTGTCCAAATATATCTTAAATTTTGTTTTTATTTGGCTAATTTTTCAGAACTATTTTCTCGGTTTTGTCGGTACAGTACGGGTACGAGTGCGCGCACTGCAGTCAGTCTTAACCCACTGTTTAGTGGAGAGCAAATACTGTAAATAAAAAATCCACTAAATTAGTGGATAAAAAACAATTCGCATATTTTTATAATTTTGTCTTTCATTTAACAATCTGGTGACACGCTATTAAAGACAGTTCTGAGTTACAAAAGTCCGACTCAAGGACATTTAAAACTATCGATTTTTTGTGAGTAATTAGACCACACAGCTGATTACAAAAACCATCGGCATTCGTCATGGAATAAGCAGACCTCTACTCTTCGATCAAGGAAACTTGTCAATCTTATGTAAAATATGTTTATAAGGTTTTTGTTATAATTTATATATGTACATTTAAGTTAAATAGTACAAACATTGACGGTACCAATTGTATAGAAGATGTGTACCCCCGTCGGTATATACGAGTACAACCCAAAGGATCTGATCGGACATGGGGCCTTTGCAGTTGTATACAAGGGTCGACTTAAAGCGGTAAGACATGGGATTTTTAACTATTTATTTTTTCTTCTACAGTTTTTCCAGTTATTTTATTTCTTATTTCATTTTCTCTCGACTCTGCCCCCATCTCCCTTAATAACAACTTAAGTTGGGCTCAGAATTTGTTGATTTAACAACGTTAAATTTGCTTGGCTTGTTTAACTGTTTGTGTTCTGACATTATTTTGGAAAGAAAAATTACAGAATGCAGGGGTTTAAAATGTCATAAAAATTATTTGTTGATGATTCTGTCTAAAGTTTTATCTAGAAGAATAAAAAGTGCCCGCATTGGATATTGAGATCTAGGAGAATAACTTTTAAAACTAGCTTTGAAACTCAGATTTGCCTTGAAACTAATGTTTCACAATTCTAACCCAAATAAATTTTAAATTCTAAGCCACTTAAAGAACATGTCTGCGGTTCTACCGAGTTGCCCTTTTCAAAATTTAAGGCAAATCGGTTAATGGGGGGGGGGGAGGGAAGGTGTTTAGTTATGTTCTAATATGCAAACTATCAAAAAGACATACAGTGATTATTACTCTATCTATAAATATGAAAATATGAGTTCAAGGTTATCACTCATATTTTAATGATCATTGTTTTTTTCTTTATCTAACGTCTGTTTTTATGCAAAATTTCTTTGTTCCGACCTAGATAAGAGTCGCTGTACATATTTTGTTCCCGGAAGAGAAAGGCAAATGCATGCTTTATTGCAATGATTCACAGTTATTGGCTAAAATCTAAATCATTTCACTAATTTCAATTTTGATAGTTTAAACACTAAAGCTCTTTCATTTTCTCTAATTCATTGAATATTCTCTGTATACTGGTTCAGAGTTTTTATAATTTTAAGAATAAAAGAAATCATCGATGCTCCGGGAGGGAAGAATGAAAGTTGGATTTAAAAGAAATTTTCATTTTTTGGGTCTTGTGCGCGATAGATATATGCCTAAAGATGTGACCTGGTTATTTCCCATAATCATTTATTTAACCCTCTAAATAAAACAGTTACTTTCAGCCAAAAATAATGATTTTCTAAATGGGGGTGGGGGTGGGGGGTTAGATAATAAACCCCTATGATGTTGAGAAAATAAATGATTTTTTTTTATAAGAAGGGGGGGGGGGTTATGATTTTTTTAAGAGAAATACCCATGCTTTCGATTGACACACAAATATTTCTTTTAGATCGTAACCTCATTTCTTACACAATCATTTTACGTTTTAAAATCATTTTCCAGGTCACATCTTTAGGAATATATCTATCAAGCACACGACCCAAAAAATGATATTTCGCAATTTGACTTTTTATTTTTTTTTTTTTGGCGTTGAAATGTTTTTTTATTTTGCAAATTCTTGTGATCAATATTCTACCTTGTATTTTCCTGTGTAAAATGTTGGCTACTACGACGTCTTAAATTACGTCAATACAGCCTAGTTTAGCTTGATTAGGAACATATTCAAGCGCAAAAAAGTAGGGAATATCCCCCCCCCCCTATTTTAAGTGTAAAGAATATTTTGAAATTTTGCCAATAGCAAAATATGTTAAATGTAAATATTCTGTTCATTTAAAAACGGACAACAATGTAACATTTCTAGTTAAAGGTTGGGGGGGGGAGGGGGAAGTACCTTTTTGAAGACCCTGAAATGCGTTTAATTTTTTGAGGTTTATTCTAGGTCAGCAGTTGTTCTGTTTAACGCGAATTATTGACGTAAACTTATAAAAAACTTCAATTTATTGTTGACATTAAATAAACGCAATATTAGATACAAGTACTTGTATCGGAATCTGACATACTAGGCTTACAGGGCGCTTCGCGACCATCTTCTCTTTCAATTTTGAACATTGTTTTAAACAAAAACAAACGAAAAATTTCGCGAATTCTTTAAAAATAAATGTTGTAGATTTTCAAAATTTGATGACAATCCAATTTTGTTGGATGCAAATTAATGTAAATCGATCAACCGCTTTTTAGATACGCATTTTTCTAGATTTCTAGTAGGGGTCGGGGGATGCACAATGCACATTGTTCTTACAATTTTAAAACTGAAAAGTAACAGGACATTTATTATGTAAAGTACATTTTTTAAAAATAAAATTGTGTACTGTTTTTTTGTAGTTGTTTTCACTTTTTTTGGGTGCTTATGCCAAGATAAAGTTCAGTGCTACCTTGTCCATAGAAAGCGGCGGACCTTCGAGAAGGAAATCCTCGAAAAAAATATACTTTGCACATTTTCTTGCTCTTACTTAAAAGTGACGGTTCACGTTGTGATGTGACCCACCATCAATAGAGTGGCATGTCCGCTTTACAGTGGTACCCTTTAAATCTTTATTTGAATAACTATGACTCAACAAACAATTTCTTCCGGTTTCTCGCTGCAGAAATGCGCAATAATTTGTACAGAGGATCCCTGGATCCTTTTTCGAATTTGATAAATATTTTCAGACATAATATTTACTCTTGACAAAATATAGATTTAAAGTACACTGAAGTGAATTTGCTATGCCTTTGTATGGAAAAAAAGATTATTTATAATCAGGTCTTTATTCCCTTTAAGAAGTATTTTCTGTTTTTTTTTAAAGCCAATGTAATGATATAAAACGCAATTTAAGATTTTTGCAATTGAATTGATACCTGTTATATCAAATCAAGTTTAGTTTGAATTCTTAGTCTTTGCATTAAACATATGACAAAGAACATTTTTTTTGCACATTTTTTTCTTAGGTTGCATTTTCAATCGAGAAATTGTTTGTTTTTATATATTGCGTCAATGTAATACATAAAAATATTTTTTTTTCTGGCGTTAATTTAAAACTCGCAGAATTTTTTATCTTACTTAAATTTTGATAATTTACCATTTGTTTATAATGTGCAAAAAATATCTGCGAAAACTCATTCCGTCAAGCTGACATTGTGCAATTGATCGCAATATTTCTCAAATTTCATCAGACATTCCAAATCTTGCTTTCTATATATTTCAAGTTTTCAACACACATACATCTATAGTTATATACTTTTGATTTAAAGTCTATAAAAAATATTTGTTATCTTTCATATTCATGGCAAAATCATTTTTTTAAATATATTTAAATATAATGAAGAATATGTACCCCTGAAATGGTCGTGTTGGCATTGCACAATTCGTCGCAATAATTTTGAAAAGTTGTATTATTAATACAATTTCAAACTTTGGGTTAGGCGTACATCGTTAAGTGATTTTTTTTATCGCAAAGAAAATATGTAAAGTAAAAATGGTGGACATCGTTCCCAATTCACAGCTCATCATAGGACATGGAGCCTTTTCTTTAGTCTACAGAGCTAGACTAGCAAACGTGAGCTTTTTTATCAAATATTTTTTATCAATAATTTTTATGTACTATAAACTTGTCAATTGTAATCCTTGTAAACCTTCTTTTATCATTAAGATTTGATGAATGGTTTTCAAAAGTCTTAACATATAATATATAATCTTAAAGTTTAATATGTTGTGCGCCAATATTTGTCTCTTCTTTCTTTAAAAAAATAAAAGTAATAGTTTTATCAAAATCCTTCTCTCCTTGAAAAAATATTAATATTGTTTGGTAAAATTATTGGAGGAAGAAAAAAGCTTTAGTTTTGAAACTAACTTGTTTATACTAGTTATATAACTTCTATTGACAAATTAGATTGACTTATTAAATATTATTTTAGATTTTATTAGTTCTCGTTTTATACACGCACTTTTACCTTTCCATTCCTCTTCATTCCTTTCATATGTTCTCTTCCTTTCATATCCCTCTCAATTTCCTGATATTTTTAATTTCATTTCATCTTTATGCCTTTCATTTCCTCTTTGTTACTTTCATTTTCTCGTTACCTTTTATTTCCTCTTTATTCCTTTCCTGTTTCGTACATTATTAAAATCATCATCAGAACTCAATCTTTGGTTTTGTATTATTCTTAAACTGTTATTGATAGAATACAAACCAATTTTAGACAATCCCGGGGTGATTTAATCAAACCATTTCATATTGTATACCCCCCATACCTGTAAATGAAATAAAACTCCGTAATATTACTTTTTAACTTGTTAAATAGATTTTTTTTTAATAAAAAATGATATTAAAATTTCATATAAACCCCATTACCCAAAGTTAATGCATTTCTTATTATTTACGATTTAATACTCATTTTAGGGCTTTCAAACTACTTAAAAAATATATTCCTCTTTTTTATTCCCTTTCAATGACCTTGGCCTATATATTCTGCGTATAAACAATCTCCTATATTCAGACATTAGCTTTTCTCTTGATATTACGCAGTAGCAAGAAAATAGGAATATTATATTCAAAACTAATCTGATAAAACGTATATTTATGAATTATGAAAAGCAATATTGTTTAGTATTGTTTGTATTTAAAATTTAATGCACTTTTTTAACATGACTTTTAACACATAGATAAAAAATAATTTTAATACAAGTTTTAATGTGTAACCCCTTCCATCCTTAACCCCCCACCCCCTCCCCTTTCTTCTAGTTCTGACACTGAATGCCCCCACCCTAAGAATCTAGGCCCCACCATCCCCTCCACAGAATATAATTAACGTTATGAACGATTACGAAATTCCAACCTGGTGTCATGTTTCTGAGGTATTACAGTTTCTTCCCCCTCCTCCTCTTATCTCCCCTCTTCCTTTTTCAATTTTTCTCCCCCCCCCCTATATATCCACATTTCCCCCTTCATATCTCCCCCTTTCTTCCCTTTTCCATTTTTTCCTTTATACTACTTTCATATTTCTCCCACTCTCCTTTTTTTCAGTTTTACTTTATCCTCCTTTCTCCGAATGTTTCTTGTTATCTAAGCTCTATGTTTTTAATCCACTGAAGTAGCCAACTACGTATATTTTGTGTAACATATAAAATCAAAATTTAAAGTTACATAATTTAGTAAAATTTTGAAATGTGATTTATTGTTTCATTTTTATTTAAAAAAAATTAGAAGCAAAAAAATGTGCATTTGAAATAAATTTAACGGCGGTGATGCGAGGGCCTTAAAATATGAGGGTTCAATTGGTTCAGCCGCGTTGACGTTTATAAGACAACAACAAAAAACGACAGACAGACAATGACAGATATGAAAAATGTTCGCCCCTGGTCTAACATTAATGGAATACGCTGAGCTATCACGCAAGACAGACTAAAAATGGCGTAGATAGTTGGATAAATAGTTAAAAATAGGACCTCCTAGGATAAAGTGTTATTTATGGGGAAGGGGGGGGGACAAGGATTTACATTCTTTGTCATTTCAATCTATTTCCAGAGATATATATTTTCTTAATATGAATTTGAATATGTGAGGTGATGATTAATTAGTTAAATTGGGGAAAATAAATGAATTTTTGGATTTAACTTTTAAAAAGAGTCAGTTTGTTTTATATCTTTCTATTTTTCCCCAGAGCATTGAAAAACTTATTTATAAATTTTCTTTTTTCTAGACTTTATATGTATTCCTTTATGTTTTCCTCCTGTAAATATGTATTCCTTTATGTTTTCCTCCTGTAAATATGTATTCCTTTATGTTTTCCTAATGTAAATATGTATTCCTTTATGTTTTCCTAATGTAAATATGTATTCCTTTATGTTTTCCTCCTGTAAATATGTATTCCTTTATGTTTTCCTAATGTAAATATGTATTCCTTTATGTTTTCCTCCTGTAAATATGTATTCCTTTATGTTTTCCTGCGGTAAATATGTATTCCTTTATGTTTTCCTGTAATAAATATTTATTCCTTTATTTTTTTTGCAGTAAATATGTATTCCTTTATGTTTTCCTCCAGTAAATATGTATTCCTTTATGTTTTCCGCAAGTAAATATGTATTCCTTTATGTTTTCCTCAAGTAAATATGCATTCCTTTATTTTTTCCTGCAGTAAATATGGGCTAGTCACAGAGAAATCACAATGGAACATTATCACCATTAAAAGTTAAAAACATTGATATATAATTAGTACTTTTCAGACACAACTTTTAAGTTTACCGTTGTGAATCGGGCATTGACATCTATGCATGGAGGGTCACTGAAAATTACGCTTTCAGTCCCTTTAGGAGAAGTTGTTTTCTACCAAATGACAAAACTTTTTTTTATTGTCTATATCATGAATATGAACTCCTATAACTGTTATTATATTTTTTAATGGAAATTTGTCTTCAGTTTCGAAGTTTGAATTAAAAGAATTAGGTTTCACTTGAATTCTTCTTTTTTCATCTTTTTTTTACCAGAGCTTGCCATTTAACTATTATCATTTTTTTCTTTCTAAATTGTTTGAAAAGAAAATTGTGTTGCGTATTGCAGGAAAAATTTCCTTTGTGTCGTAATATTTATTTTTTCTTTTAACACTATCAGCAGTGTCAACGGGCTAGATGTTTGTAAAACATTACAGTTAATTTCAAACGTCTAAAATAAGGTCACTTGTAAATATTTAATAACTTATTTATTTTAAGAAAGAGAATTCTGGATTTCATTTAGTTTTGAGTCACCCTTTAACTTGCAATGCCAGACTTTTGGGCAGCCAGGCTGAAAGTACGCTTGGCCTGAGATAGATAGATAAATAGATTGTCGTATATAAGATAGATAGATAAACATAGAGTATGTATAAGATAGGTAGATAAACAGAGTTTAAAAAGTCAATTTTCTCAAAGGAACTTAACCAAAGATGCGTGTAACTCTTAATATTTATTACAAAACTAATAATAATTTTTTATTTCTTGTTTTTTGTGGCGTTAGGATTAATATTAGACCTAGAGAGAGAGTTAATATAAGTTTTCAAGCTGCAGGCAATAACTCTAGCCTGGCAACAAAATGGGCCTTAGAACATTTTTTTTGCAAAATTTTATGCTTAAAAATTTCCGACTCAACTTGTTTTGGTGGAATTATTTTTAGTTCGTTTTACATAATATTTTTTTTTGTACTATTTGAGGCCCTAGCTAGTTTATTTGTGAGGGTGTTCCCGGGCCCCTTAGTGAATGGTTAGCGCTCAAATTATCTGTAACATACACACACACACACTGATTTATAACATACATTTCATTTTTCAGGTTCTATGTTTTATTTTTACATTTTCGCAGAAATAGGTCAGCAGAAATACACTTGTCATTCAGATTTCATGTGACATTAAATATTTATAGCATTTTTTATACTTTCCTAGAATGTTCTTGGTAAATGACTAAAATGAAAGCTTATCGTCAAAATAGCAATATTATTTCTATTTCTTTCAGTTTATGAAGAAGATAAAATTGGATAATTAAGATTTTCAACTGATTGTTTAAATCTAAATGTAGAATTACGTAACCTTCAACTGCGTATAATATTCAACTCTTGGTTTCTGCGTAAATCAAGCACCCTAGCTGCGTACAAAAATTTATCTCAGAAGTAGTTTATAAAAACCTGTTATAAAAGTGGAATTTTTAGGGGCCCCCCCCCCCCTGTCAATCGAACTTAAAAAAGTTCTAATAGTTGTTGTAATGTTATAACATGACTGTAAAAACGCCTTTCCCTTTCCATAGCACACACCTTATTCAAAGTACGCAAAAAGACAAATGCGTAATAAAGATATTTCGTCCAATATTTGGATGCGTAAAGACCCACCTTTAACTTTAGCCATATATAGTCTGTAGACAAAATTTTTGAATTCATTAAAAATCAAAAATATCAAATTATGCAAGATGTATTAGGATGAAATGGGTGTGTAATGTGCAAACTGTTGTAGAATGTATTCAAATACAGTTTTTTTATAATCCCCCTCTCTCCTCCTTTCCCTAGTCGGTATAATTTTCTAAACTTGTAGAAATGGGAAAAGTAGTAATGATCTTTGAAATAGTTTTATAATCCTTTAAGGGTTCTTTAAATTTATCTTAACCAATTTTTTTTTGTTATTTAAGGTTCAAGGAAAGGGTTTTTTTGGGGGTGGGGGGTGGTTTCTTTAATTACTTAAAGTGAGTTCCATCCCTGGAATTATGTTAATGTTAAGTGCCGTTTCGTGCACGTTTTTAAAGGTTTTGATCGTAATTCTAGAACCCCCGAACCATTTTTAGAAGAGCATGCATGTTTTTCTCCAAATAAATATACAATAATTTCATGTTCTTGATTGATGTCATCTGTGCAGGCCAGAGGCGTACACAGGGAATGAGGGCTATTGGGACTCAACCAAGGAGTATGAAATATGATTATACATCCCTTGCAGAGGGTACTCCATTTGTATAAGAAATATCTGTCTGATGTACAATTACCGCGTATACAATAAACTATTCTAAATATTTGCAAGCATGCATAATCATATGGTAGGGCGGGCAGCGTCAGTTGTATCTCCCTTCTATTCCATACTCCTTGGACCCCCTGCATCAGTAAAATATATGGTACAGCTGAGTCCCCCTGAAAAGAAAATAGTTCAAGCCCCCCCCCCATCAAATTCCATTGCGCCCCTTATTTTATTATTGTTTTAAAGGATGTGCTAGCTTGCCGAAATTTTGAAATATGAAGATGCCTGGTTACAAGTATCATGAAATGTATGCGTGGGGGTAAATCAACTTGTGCAACAATTTGAATTGCACGCGACCAGTAGATGATCAGAAAATAAAAGTTTGTTTTTCAAGTTCTAACTAAGCGAAAATTGACGAAGTTCTAACAAATCAAGTTTTTGTTTGAATAATAATGGCAAAAAACACGGTGGTTAATAATACCCTCACCAAGAGAAATATTAAGAAAGATCCCTGAGCTAAAACTATGAATTTTCAGATTTCTTGAAATTACTGCTCTTGTAAACAAATTGGTTAAAATTCTACATATGAATGTTTTTTACTCTCATCGTACATCCATCTCTTCTCTGACTATCTATCTATTTATCTACCTACCTAACTATATACCTGTCCATGTGTCTGTTTCTATAAATTCTACTTGTTTTTCAGTTTTTCTGTTTGTCCGTCTGCTTGTCTTAAAAAATGCATGTCTATCTATCCAAGTGTCTGTCTTTATGTCTATCTGTATATCTTTCTATGTTTCTATCTATCCATTTTTTAGTTTTCCATACCTATTTATCTACCTTTCTGTCTACTCATCTATCTCCCGTTTCTGTACATTCTCTATATGCGTGTATTGATTTTTTTGCCAATAACGGTTAACGAAAGTACATAGCAAACAGAACGAGATAACACTCAAAAACATTTACTCTCAAAATACACACACACGCTGGCAATGTTTACAATCAATATAGAACTATAAAAGCCATAATAAGTTTAATTGGGGTACACCCCAAAGAGACATTACATTCAATTTTAAATTTAGATTTGCCGTTTTTTAAATCCAGTGTGTTCATTATAAATATTTAAAAAATCATCACTAGATTTCGGATTAAAGTTTTTTGTTTATTCTAAATTAGAATAGAAAAGTATCTTATGAAGTTATAAACGGGGGGTGGGAGGGAAACTTCGAGAGGAAATGAAAAAGAAATCTTATAAATGATTTCCATATTTTATCCTGATCTTATATCTGAGCTGATAGAGCTGTTAGTTCAAATCCATTTCTTTTGAACCTTTTTCTTCTGTGTCTTAGTAAATTTATGTTAAGTTCTCCTCTTTCATTCCTTTATTTTATCAATTTATAAACAGATATTATAATATTTTATCCAATGTTAACATTTCAGGCCCCGCACAGTGTGGTTGCCATCAAAGCGATTGCAAAAAAGAACCTAGCAAAATCACAAAATCTTCTTGGTAAAGAAATCAAAATTTTAAAGGTAAGACATATTTGGGATATTTTCAATTATTTTTTTATGTCTGTTGGTACTTGACAAATAAATACTTGCTAGAAAGATAGAAAGAAACTAACAAAATCACCCCTTAACAGTTTTTGCGGCCCCCCCCCTTGTTCAGCCACTATCAAGTTTCATAAAAAGATCATCAAATGATCAGATTTATCAATTTAATAATTTATCGGTAACGTGACTCCCCCCAGCCCCTCATTTTCACCATACTATTATTGTTTTTATTTTTATTTTTCATGTTCTTGGATCATACAGAGGGACCCATAAAACTGTGGAACTGTGTGACGACATTAAAGCATCTAATATATATTTAATTTTGAAAATCAACTTTTAAAGTGAGATGGATTTGTTTACACTGCACAATTGCTTTGTTTTATGCGTATTAAACTATTTAAAAATAAACAATCGTCCCTCGGTAAAATGATTTCAACCAGTTTTATCCGTGTGTAAATGATTTTTTTTTAACAAAAAAAAACTAAACAATTTAGAAATGGAAATTTAATTTTTCTGTAAAAATTCTTTAAAAGCCTTAAAAAAATTTTTCTCTGATTAAAATGATGAATATTGAAACTGGAGACGGTTTAATCGCTGAAAGTCACGTGGTCAAAACCGTTTCAATTCTACAAACTGAAAATTTCAGGAACTAACCCAGTTGGCGCATAGCAATGTGGTGGCTCTCCTTGACTGTAAGGTAAATATTTTATTTAAAGGGACTAGCCACGTTATTTATTATGAAACCCTCTAATAAAAAAGTGCTTTACAACTTTACAACATTAAAACACTCTTCAAGATATTTTTTTTGTAAAATATCTGGCAGCGAGTTTTTTTTAAAAGAGACTCGTGGATTTTTTTTAAAGTTTGTGCTTCCCCCCATGCACACAGTTTACTTCTGTCAAACATAATAGTATACGTACTTTATAACAGCATTCTTGAACACATTCCACAATCCCTACCTTCCCCAACCCATTTCTTAGCCTTATCTTGCCATTGTTCAGTAAATCCGGGTAAATATGATTTCCCCCCCCCCCCCTCCCTCCAGATATTGACCTGAAGTTAAAATGAATAATAGTAAAAATTTACAATTATTTAAAAATAAATATATACCCCTGAATTTTTACTTAACCCTATTCTTTCAACCAAGACCACCCACCCTAGGTGCCCCCCTCCCGTTGAGCTAATGTATAAGCTTTCTTCTTATTCCCTTCTCCCCCTTTAATATTTCACTTACTTTCATTCCCTAGTAACAACTTAAAGGATTTGTTTATACATATACTTATTACTTTTTCATGAAGCCGTCTACTATTTCTATTTCTAATTTCTATTTTGTACTAAATATACTTTAAACTCTGAAGAAAAACACCTGAAAGGAAGTGGAGTACGATTTTGGGTTTCGGGGTAATTTTTGTCTATTTAGTTGAGCCTTATTGACGTATTTTATAGAACAAACAAAACACTTAAAATATATTTATTGTCTTCTCCGTTCTAAGATATATTCTTGTACGTGGGTGGATTTTATAAATGATAGGTTTAGCTGGAAGATTAACACGGAGAGATCAAGATTTATACCTCTCATACCGCGCGCAGAGATTAGATTAAACCGCTGGATTATATTCTTCTTTGTATAAAACCTTCCTTCATCCTTTTAGGATTTCTTGATTCTATTTCAAACTTATTATTCAAAACACTTTTTAGAAAAACATCTCCCCCCCTCCTTTCTCATCTGTTCTATAATATAAACATATAAACATATAAACATATAAACATATAAAGGTTACGCCAAGCAAGTCTTGATACAGAGTGAAGTAGGATGTGGTATAGGTAACATTAAGTGCATGGGGAGGGGAGGGGAGGGGGGATAATTATAGATTGGAGGGAAGGGAGGGGGAGAGTCAAGGATATGAAATGTGCATGGTTATGTTACTAGGTCCATGAAATGGGAAACTATTAACACACTTGAAAGTAAATTCATAGATTTCACTGTTAAAACTGACATTTTTTTGTAAAGTCCAACAACTCTAGATTTTAATGACATGATGTTTTTATAAAACAATGAAAACAAATATTTTTTTGTTAAACTGTTAAACTGTGTCCTAGTTTGATAATTTTTTGAGATATTTTGCGGATCTGAAGTCCGAATAAAGAAACATATGACCGGATCCTTGATAATCAATTTTAACTCCGGGTTTGTGGTTATGTGCTGGGGTTTGTAGAATAATAGTACAGATTATACCATGGTTTTGAAGTATTCAATAATGTAACCCTTACTAAATAAATTATGTGGGGCCTAACTAACAGACTCGATTTTATTTCTGGATGGGGGGGTCTTAAACACCTCATTGTTATAGAAGAGAACAGTTTAAATTGAAATACTTGAATAATAGATAATTCATCTTCACTATTTAGAAACATTTTCTCACCCTAACTATTTCATTTCTCTCCGCCTTCATTTCATTTCTCTCCGCCTTCATTTCATCTCTCTCCGCCTTCATTTCATTTCTCTCCGCCTTCATTTCATTTCTCTCCGCCATAATTTCATTTCTCTCCGCCTTTATTTCATTTCTCTCCGCCTTCATTTCATTTCTCTCCGCCTTCATTTCATTTCTCTCCGCCACAATTCCATTCCTCTCCGCTACCATTTCGCCATCATAATCCTCTCCGACTCTATCATTTTCCTCTCCGCCAACATCTCTTCTCTCCGCCAATAATATTCGTTTCCGACCTTTTTTTACCAACGATTCATTCTTCCTTATCCCTCCCCGTTCTTCCTTTTCCCTCGTTCTTCCTTTTCCCCCGTTCTTCCTTTTCCCCCGTTCTTCCTTTTCACCCGTTCTTCCTTTTCCCCCCGTTCTTCCTTGACCCATCCTACAGGCTACGCTAGGCCCCTGATCTGAAAGGTCAATCTACACTTGAGGCAAACGGCCTAGCAACAGTGATTAACTTTCCCCCCTTCCCTCCTCCCCACCCTAGCTTTCCTGCACACCCCCCCCCCTCCACTTAAAAAATTGTCCCTTGGCGAGAAGATTTAGGAAAATTCCTTTCAAAAATATGTAGGTTAGCACATTCTGAATTAAGTTATTTTTCAAACTTTCCATATTTCTTTTTCCTTTTCAGACACTGAGGGGTGCTTTTCTTAACACTATTGCCATACATTGTAACATTTATCTACATCTTCTTAATTTTTTGTCATGAATTTGTTTTAACCTGATATTTATGCATCATTTAAAACTGTTAAGTTTTTCCGGAGTTGAAAAATTCGACTGTTTGTTGAAATGATAGTTTTGTTTTGTAAAGAAGCTGAACAGCTGTGAATCAGCTGATCGTCCACTTGTCTAGGTTCCCGAGTTTTTAGCCTTTGTTTGAAATTACGCAGTTCATATTTACACAGTACACATGCATAGATAGATAGATATATAACAGATAGAACAGATAGAACAGATATAACAGATAGAACAGATAGAACAGATAGAACAGATAGAACAGATAGAACAGATAGAACAGATAGAACGGATACAACAGATAGAACAGATAGAACTGATAGAACTGATAGAACAGATAGAACTGATAGAACTGATAGAACAGATATAACAGATATAACAGATAGAACAGATAGAACAGATAGAACAGATAGAACAGATAGAACAGATAGAACAGATAGAACAGATAGAACAGATAGAACGGATACAACAGATAGAACGGATAGAACGGATACAACAGATAGATACAGCAGATAAATACAGCAGATAGATACAGCAGATAGATACAACAGATAGATACAACAGATAGATAAAGCATATAGAACAGATAAAACATATACATAGGTAAAACAAACAAATAAATAAAACAATCTCCTGATATTAATGTTTCTTGGTTAAGATACTAAAGCAATCGGTTTGTTTATTGCGTGCACGCATTCTTTGCGTGATAACCCCCCAGCCTTACCCCCCCTCCACCTCCTTCTAACTTTAACTTAAGAACTACTATTTTTATTCTTTAAAGAGGATTTCTTGTTGTTTTCTCNCCCCCCCCCGTCTACATATCAGTGTCCTCGTACTGTATAGTGTATTTGTACTTTCCCTTAACAATAACAGTGTTGATAGCCACAGAGATAGATAGGTATAAAATTAGATAGATAGATAGATAACTTGGATAGATAGGAAGAACATCAGGTAGATAGGTAGATAAATGGGTAGGTATATATATATTTATAAGAGAATCTATACTGTACTTTTCAGAAAATATAATGTTCTGTGAACACTGAACTGTACTTTGTACTCCCCTTTAAAAGGGGGGAGGGGGAGTACTTAAAACTAACGGCAGCGAAGTGCTTCCTGCCCGTACCGAAATAATGTCAGTCTTATTTCCTTCTAACTCAAGTGCCCGATGTTGCCCGTGGAAAAAAAATTCGAATTTTGAAGGAAAATATAGATCATTGAAAAAATTAGGTATTGGAAAAAAATTAGATTTTTGAAGAAAAAAATAGATTTTTGAAAGAAAAAATTTGTAAAATGTAACATACTTAAAGACTTGAAATATAAAGCCCAATAAAAAATAAGAAAATACAAAAAAAATTGCATTGAATCGTTAAAAAAATTGATTCTAAAACTCACTAGATTTTTAAACCAGGACCTCTAAATTACAGTGATGAGGGGGGGGGGGGGTTGAATATTCTGTAAATTTTGTTTGTCTGACATTATTCATCATATTCATCATGTTAGGTTGAATCTACATAAAACCACTTGTTCTGTCAGAGCCGGGGCTTTTTCTCCTAGATCTGAATTCATTTTAGTCTTGGTTGCAGTCTCCCTCTTTTTATACTAATCTTAAATAGGGCTGTTCAATTAATTCTCAGTTTTCAAATATAGAAGAATTTTTTTTTCCTTTCTAACTTAACCTTATAGTTCAAAGCTTTTTATTTGTTTGTTTTTTGCAATTCGCACAGTATTTGAAAATAAAAGAGAACATTTTGTAGATTTTCATAATTTTTTTTTTGGTGGATTTCCGATATTAAGAAAATTCTGACAGCTGAATATAACAAGGGTAATATTACTAATCTTAAATGCTCTTTAAATAACGCTTAAAAATAATTTTAAAGACCCTATTAAGAATTTTGTTTCAACATGTAATAGTGATAACTGTACGCTATAAAGCACTTGAATTGCACTCAACCGAAACATAATAATTTGCGGAAACGGTTATCCTTAGGAGTAANGGCTGCGGGTGTTAAGAAAAAGTAAAATAATTTTTGAAAGAAAAATACAAAATGTTAATCAAAATTAAATATAAACATTTAACACTGAACAACCCCCACCCCCTTTAATTATCAACAAACTGTCATGTTCATTGTACAATGTATATTATCCCTTTAAATCGAAGTGTACTGCAATGTTTGTTTGTTTACAGGAGACCGCCCAGCAGGTGTTCCTTGTTATGGAGTACTGTAACGGGGGAGATCTCGCAGATTATTTAAATGGTAATTTTTATTTATTTTTAACATTTATAAGATTATTTATGACATTATTTATAAACCAGGTTTATATTCATAATGTAATGTTAAATATATTTAATAATGTTTTTTTTTAGCTAAAGGGACATTGACAGAAGACACTATTCAACTGTTCTTACGTCAGTTAGGTAATAGATTTTTCTCTTAATTTTGTATTAACTATTTTTATATTATCTAAAATCTAGTTTCTGCCGGAATTTCATTTTGTGAAATCAACTCAACGTGTATGACATCATTTTTGTTGGCAGTGCAAAAATTATCATAACGAAATGTAAACCCCTCTTGTCTTCTGCATGCAAATCTAGGTTTATGCAGATTATGTTCTGCAAAAAGTGGCAAGGAATTAAACAAAAATAAGAGTTTTCAAATGAATTACAGCAAAAAACCAAATTGTTACATTTTTAGTCTTTGTTATCCAAAAATGGGATGGGATGGGAAGGGGTGGGGTGGGATGTTATGGGAAGAAAAGGAATTGGATGGGAGGTGCAGAGCATAGTATTGAAGGGAAGGGATTGCAATAAATAATAAATAATATGGTTGCACTAAACGTGGTTTGAACAGTAAAATGTAATTCTGCGAAGTTGCAACATGATACTAGGCTGGCTTCCGGGATTTAAGCTGTTAGCACTAAAATGTAAATCATTTCTGCTCTCAATTCAATTTTTTGCCCCCCCCCCCTCTTAACTACACACGTTAAAAGTGTGTGTGGGGGGGGGGATATTTGATATTTTTAATTTAACCTGCTGTAATCTTAGTTTAAATGATTTTCAGATTTTATATTTTTTATATTTAATTTCTAATTATATTATATTTTTATATGAAATAAAATATTTATTAAACATTTTATTAATGACAATTTTAAATATTTCATTTACTTTTAAAGAGACAGGTTCCGAATTTAATGAATTTGATCCTCGTCTCAAATCTGCCAAAAACCGGTTTTCAATTGAGTGCCGGCTTAAATCTTGAATCATTAAATACAATTTTAAGTGGAACCAACCATTTTTGAGCCGCGTCTAAAATTTAATACCTGGTTCAAATTCTTTAAATTCGACCTCCGTTAGCATATGTTCAAGTGACCCTATATGCAAGGATAGCAATGGCCGATGTACAACGGTATCCTTTAAAAATTTAAACGCTAAAGAATTAATTATGAATATTTCATCAATGTTTTGTTAAAATCTGATTCTTTTCAATGTTGGTTATTAAACACTTTAAAACCTAGAAAAACGACAATATCTTCTACATTATTGATGAGATAAAGGTTTCCAGGGTACCTTTGTGAATCAGACATTGCCATCATTGCATGGGATGTCTCTTAAAATTACGCGTACAGTGCCTCTAAGAGTATCAGATTCAGGGTCAAGCAAATCTAATATAAAATAAATATGTTTATTTAATTTTAGTCTATATTAAAAATATATTGAATATTTTATTCAGATCAATACTCGTATATCCTCGTATTTGCTTATTACACATTTCATTAGGAAGGACCTCCACCCCTGCTAGGTCGTTGAACTAGGCCTAGTTGCCTTGCAATTCTTTATACTCATTTTCTGCCAGGCTTGGTTAATAACAGGGCCCAACATGATTCACTTCAGTTTAAAAAAGGGATTGTTTTGTATTTACGCTATTCGATTAAATCAAGCAAGTCGATGTTAAAGAACACTTTATGACTTCTATGAAAAAGTTTATATTATATTTTTAAAATTCTTTTTTCATAAATTTTTCAACCCTCGTTTCATAAAATTTGCAAAAAATATTAATACAAATCCACGTAGTTTACAAGAAACCGGTTTGATTGATCCAAATATGTACTAAATTTTTGGAGTTGACTGTATCGATATATATAATATTGAAAAGAGAAAGCTATGATTAACAGTATTCCCGCAATATTACATTTTGCAAACTAGGATTTAACCAGTAAATTTACAGTAATTTATATCTTGGGAATTGACAACGTAGGTTTAATTTATTATTTTTTTAATATCCATATCAAACTATATCCGTAAGACTTTTGACTCAGCAAAAATTATAAAGCTATCCTAGTTGTTTTCATCAAAAAAACTTAAAAATTTCCTATTGTGGGTTCTTTTTTAAAGGGATTTGAGGATTAAAGAATTTTTTTTAGAAATTCTACTATTTTTTCTTGATTGATAACCAGATAAATATTCGAACGGTACCGTTGTGAATTGGAAATGCCTCTATTTTAATCAAGGGCCACTTAAATTTCAACTAAATAAGCCTGCTTCAAAAAAAAGAAAACAATCGCTTAAACTCTTGTTCTTTTAGCTGGAGCCATGTACGCGATTACAAGTAAGGGAATAGTGCACAGAGATCTTAAACCTCAAAACATACTTCTAGCACACGACGGTAGAACCAGGTAAATTAATAAATATGTAAGGGGTGCACAATTTCTTTAAAAGTCATTTCCCCCCTTTTTTGGTTGTTCATTTATTTCCCAGAAGGTTTCAAGGTCCCCCCCCCCCCCAGAAGTTAGGGGTTCCTTTGTATTTATTCCCTAAGTTGGGGAAAATAAAATGCTTTTTGATAAAAAATAGCAAGAAGGATTAAAAACATAACTGTTAATGTCTAATTTTTTAAGCATTTTTTATATACTCTTCCTATTCGTTACGTAAATATTCAATGTTTTTTTTCATTAAATTGTGTTTTTTAAGGAATCCCGCGCCTGCAGATATATGGTTAAAAATTGCGGATTTCGGGTTTGCAAGATTTTTGCAAGATGGGACTATGGCAGCTACGCTCTGTGGTTCACCTATGTATATGGTATGCACAATTCTTGTTATAATGTGTTACATTTTTATTCGAAATATACAATTTTAAACGTTCAGAAAAAAAGATAAAAACTCTAAATTTTGATAAGATAATTATTTTGTATTCACCAAATATAAGTAGATATTTTATTGATATTTTAATATTTTAATATTTTAATATTATTTTATTTTTAATGTTTTTATGTTTACGAAAGGTTTAAATTTTAAACGAATTAGTGCTTCAAATCTTTTTTTTCCTGTCTCTTGATTCGTGCAAAGAGATGTCAATGCCCTAACTTATCTGATCAAGTTTAAGATAGATTTCATCGTGTCTAAAATTTGAAAACCACAAGAGTGGCCAGCGCATTTCTACTGCAGGAATACAGAAAGAAATTGTCAGAATTAACCGCTTTGCTTTTAAACCTAGAAAACAACAAAATGCTATATATTATTGATCAGATAAATGCATTAAGGATACCGTTGTGAATCCAGCATTCCCAGCTTTGAATGTAGGTTAACTTGAATTTACGTATATACAATCCCTTAATTGTAGGCGCCTGAGGTGATCATGAGCCTGCAGTACGATGGTAAAGCTGATCTCTGGTCCCTGGGAACTATTGTGTTTCAGTGTCTAACTGGGAAAGCACCATTCCAGGTAGGTTTTAAAAATTTATACCAGGGGTGTGGATTTTTTAGAAATTGATATTTTTTGATTGGGGGAGGGGGGAAGGGGGGGGGGAATTGAAAAGTTAGACATCTAAAGGAAAATATTTTTTCTTCCTGGGTTTTAAACCTTTTTACCAAGAATTCATTTATTTTTCCCAATTCAGCGAATAAAACCTTAACAATTTTTATATATTTATTCTACAAATACCTTCCCCTCCAACCCTCACCTAACCCATTTCCAAACAATGATTGTACTTTAAAATGTTACGAGTACAATTTTAGAAAGATTTAAATGTTTTCCTTTTAACTGTTAAAGTAGAAATAAGAGATGGTTCTTAGTTCTCGAGCTAATGGCATAAAATTATAAAATATAAACGACAACATAAAATGCATCTGTTTCAAGAAAATCAAGGTTGTCAATACAAGGCAAAAATTCTTCAGTAAACAAAAACAAACATCTTTGTTCTTGAAGAAACTCATTCTCTCGTCTTAATATGATGATTTTGCTTTTGTCCTTGAAATGAGTATTATTATTATTATTATTTTTATTGAGGATTTATTGTTATTCTTTTATTTAATTTTATTCTTTTTTATTGCTTTTGTTATTGTTTTTGTCATTTTGTAGTTATTGTTATTGTTATTGTCTTTGTCTTTGTCTTTGTCTTTGTCTTTGTCTTTGTCTTTGTCTTCGTCTTTGTCTTTTTTTTTTGTTTTTTTTTGTTTTTGTTTTTGATTTTGTTTTTGTTTTGTCATTGTCTTTGTCTTTGTCTTTGTCTTTTTGTTTTTGTTTTTGATTTGGTTTTTGTTTTTTGTTTTTGTTTTTGTTTTTGTTTTTGTTATTGTTATTGTTATTGTTCACAATGTTTCTAATTCTAGGCACAGACCCCCCAGGCCCTGAAGCAGTTCTACGAGAAGAATAGTAAACTTGCTCCTAGACTTCCAACAGGTTCGTAAATCAACTAGTCAATTTATCAACCAATTAATTTATCAAGTAAACATTCAATTTCTCCATCAAATAATTAATTAATTAGTCTAATCAGGCAATCGTCAAGCAACTAATCAATCAATTAGTTAATCGTTTATTTAATCAACTATCAATCAGTCAATCATTCAATCAATTTCTAAAGTTTTAAGTCTTAAAGGAAAAAATACATAGTGTTTTTCAAACCAAGCCAGTGCGGTGGTGGGAAGAAACAAGTATTTATTTGAGATTGTTGTTATAACGCAAATGTTTACCAGAAGCTTTAAAATCAACTTATTGACATAAATTGGTCTGTGTGTGTGTGTAAACTGGTTTCATATTAATTGCATCCTATTTAAAATCCTATAGAGTCTAACAGTCGTCTTTCTAATCCACGGTTTAATGGGTATCACTGTACCCCTGAATTCTCTAAAAATACTCGGAATGTTTAGGTATCTCGAGCCCCCTGGCCCACCTCCTCACCAACCTGCTGAAGAGAGATGCCAGGGAAAGGATGGAGTTCGATTCTTTCTTCCATCATCCATTCCTGGTCAGTCAAACTACATTTTTAGTTAAAGGGACCGTTCACTTATTTGGGGAATTTCATGGTAAACTAAATAGCCTATCAACTGATCATTATTATTTTTGTGTAAAAAAGTTTATGAGAAGTAGAAGTTTATACAAAAGAGCAACAAAATTCAACAAAATGAAAAAAAGATGGTAAAAGAAAAAGTTATAAAGCTTAGATTCTCTTAGGGACCGTTCACTTATTTAGGTAATTTCAAGGTAAACTAAATAGCCTATTTGCTATTCATTGGTATTAGTCTTACTTTTTAAAGATAACTTTGACCGGAGTAAAAGTCGATTTATTGATCAGAATTCCGGCGCAAACATATAATCTCAGTCATAACAACAGCCCAAGAAAATCTTTAATTATCGTATTTCAATGACCTGCGTTATCTCTCCGACACATTTATCCTGGAAACGTAAGACTAATACCATGATCAATGAATAGATTACAGGAAATTTAGTGAAATCCGAAATTACCCAAATATGTAAACGGTTCCTATAAATGTCTAAGCTTTTAAACTTCTTCTTTTGCCATCTTATTTTACTTTATATTGAATTTCTTTCCTTTTTTGTGTAAACTTCTACTTTTAACTTTATCGAAAAAAAAATGTGAATAAGATATATAAGAAATTATTAATTCAAAAATGAGATAAATGGACTCAAAAATTTTACAGAACTCGATATAATTAATGCAAAACTGGGTTTATAGAATAATAAGAAAAACATTTGATTGTTAACAATTTGTGAAAGCAGGATATAATTCCATTTCTCACTTGCTGGTGTCCATGATTTGTCCACAAAGAAAAATTTAATTTAAAAAATTGTCAAATTTATTTATCAACATTTTTTAGGCTGAACCAAGTCCAGTTGAACCGGCTGCAGGAGTTCAGCACTCCGAGGGAATGAAAATTCCAGAGGGTCGGAGGCAAGATGACGGTAGGAGGGAGATGGAGGGTCGGAGGCTTGAGGACGGCGGGAAGCTGGAGGGATCTCCGGTTCCAGGGATGCTGCCTCCGTCTCCTGCTATCACTACAGTGGTTATGCCATCCCAGGTATTGAAGTCTTTTTCAATTTCCGCCATACAAAGAGGTTTCCCGACAGCTGAGCTCTAGTTTTTCTTTGTCTGCTGTTTTTTTAAATTTTCTTTTCAAAATTAGATGAATTTTGATCAGATGTTACCAATTCATATATTCATTTCCACCAATTCATTTTACAGACATATTTCACAAGTCATGTTTTTCTCAAATTCTTTAAATTTACTTTGTTTATTTTTTGTAAAAGATGTTTATTTTGGTTTGACGAACTTTTTTAAGTTTGTCGAGGTCTATTAACGTACATAGTAAGAGATTTTTATTCAAAAGCATAAAATTTTTTCCTTTTTCCTTTGTTTTTGCCTTTTTTTTCAGGGTCTAAATTTGGTGTAGTGTAAGAAAAGGAAATGATTTCAAAATTGTCCGTTTGGGTTCGTTTCTTTTAATAATTTATTTGTCTAGGTTCAGAAGATGGAGACAAGTGATATGAGTAGTCCAGGGGGTGGACAAGGGAAGGAGGAGAGGAGGAGAGGGGAGGAGAATAGTTCTCCAGATATGGATCAGGTATATACCAGGGGGATGACCACAGTACCTAAACTGATCCCTTTTTTGGAATGAACAAATTTCTCTTCTTTGTTCTGTAACTAAGGTTGAATATTAAAAAAACCCAATCAATCAGTGGATATAGAAAAATGAAAAAATCGGATATTATTATTGTTAAGAAAAAAATTAAATTCTTTTATTTTATTTCTGATATTTTAGGAGTTGGACTACGTAGTAGTGCCTAACAGTATGGTTGGGGATTCAACAGCCAGGAATAAGAATACGGGGTAAAACAAATTTTCTTTAAATAATACAATTGACCTACAATTGACTTTTAAGACTACCTCGTTTTTGTCACTTATTTCTGAGGTTTGAACTTATGATTCTGAACGCGATTTCTAAAGTGGAAAATTTCGACTTTAAGATATAAAGTGCGTAATCCGTGAAAACGACATTTTCGCGATCTTTCCTGAATAATAATCAGACTCCACGAAAAATTATAAAAGGTATAAAAGTTCTGACGCATTTGCTCTATTCTGGATTACAGAGAGGTTATAAATAAACAAATCTGACTTCGAATGTAATATTAAAATAGTTAAAATACTGGACGATCGAATATTTTTTTAAAAGTATCTGTAGTTCTCAGCGTTTCCCGAGGATTTTAAAAACACTTTGTTAAAAAATCGAATTTTGAAAAAAAACATTCAAATTTTTTAAATGTCTATGTCTGGGTACCTATAAGTTAGAGAGAAAAAATGCCGTTTGATCAGCCTCAGCAAACATATATTAATATACATATATATATATTTATGAGCGAAGGCCTTAATTAAATAGATCCCAAAATAAATAAATTAATAACAATACAGATAGAACACTAGATGTCGTCTTTTCAAGATTTAGGGGGTTTTCGTTCACAATTACCCCGAGGTAGAAGCCGAATGGAGTTAAGCGCATGTCGCGTTGAATTACAAGACAGAGAGAGAGCATACGCGTAACTCATTTGGGCTTATGCTTCAGGGTTATTGTGAACTAAAACCCCTAAAATCTTGAAAAGACTAATCTAGTGTTCTATCTGTATTGTTATTAATGTAATTTAAAATATGTTTCTTGTTTAGTGTTTCTACTTTAACCGGAAAGAGATTGGGTCGACCTGGATCTCTGCCGGTCAACTGTAAGACCAATCCTTCAGAACCTATCCCGGTAAGATTTTGCGATTTTTTTCTTTATCTATAGTTGGATTGGTTTTATGTTTATTTATGTCAATTGTTCTTCGATCCTTTGAGTTTGAACAGTCAATGATTAAACTTAACATAACATATAATTTAAAATTTTTGTAAAACACAATTTTTGGTCAGATTTGGGTTGGAAACTTTTTGGGCCCTTTTTAGTTAACGATTTTTTTGGACATTCAATTAAAATTTCTTTGTTCAAATTTTCTGAAATTTTTGACAAAATTCCGAAGTTCTTCACATTTTATATTGTGGGTTCTAGTTTTTTATTGATTTTATCCGTTATTAGGATTCTTCAAGTTCCTGAATTCTTTTTATGTCATTATTTGACATTGTTTCTCAAGAGTGAACTGTAAATATATTATACTATAAACTAGTTTTATATAAAACACGAAGACCTTGAATGATATTTCAGGGGTGTATACTGTACACTCTCCCCCCACCCTTTACCTTAAATCAATCTTAGAAACAATATAATTTATATACAATGTAGAATACACCCCTGTCATATTTTGCCGATTCTTCTAAGGTTTCCTCCCCCAAATCTCTTTTTTATCTCTTTTCATATACTTTTTGTACTTAATGGATTAACGACTTAAGTACTTACCCCCCCCCCCCTCCTCCTTTTCCTTACCTTTCTTTATTTATTATAGAAATTAGAAAATAATATTTTTATCAAAATATGCGTAACCTATATTTTTGAAATTGATTAAATAACGTTAGTTGTATCTAGGTCAGTTTCTTATCGATACTGTGTTGTTTCGCGCGTGTTTTTCCACGTGACCGAAGGTCAGGTTCTTTGCGCATTTTTTCCGTTGACAACTTCTGGTAACCTGATACAGATAAATGTATCGACGTTATTTAATCTTTTCAGCTCTCCGGTTTTATTATATTTGGCGGTTTTTTGACAATGAATGCTTTTTTGATGGGAGGGAGGAACATGTTAAGAAGTAATTAAGATTACAAAACTTCAATTAATTTTGTTTTTTTAGGTTCCGACCCAGCGAGCTGCTTACGCAGCAATCCAGAACTCCTTGGTCACCTCTAGAGGAAACCTGGACGAGAAGACCAGCGTCTCCGCCATGTCAGGAGTCAGCTCCGCCTCCGGGGGCTCCACCCTAGGCCCACTCCCAGAGGACGAGACGGTTGATGTTCTGCAACCGTCTCCCGCCGTTCTTCGTCGACCTCGAACAACCTCCCTGACCTCCCCCGCCTCCTCTCCCCGCTCCCCTAACAAACAGTTCGCCAGCAAGTCTCGGAGGGTGTCCGCCCCTCCTGCCTCCGCCCCTGATGTAATTTCCATGTCTCCGCCCAACATCCAGTTCTCTATGGGAACACCCCCTGTTCCCCACCGCCGCCGAACCAGTAGCGGAAGTAGCAGTTCCGCCTGCGGGAACTCTCCGCCAAACACCTCCTGGACAGTTTCTCCTCCGCACTCTCAACCCTGGACCATATCTCCTAGATCATCTCCTCTCCGCCATTCAAGATCTGGCAGGTTTACACCCCCCTCCCTTCCGCCAATACTTGGCTCACCCAACCAATGGTCGGAGAACTCAGAGAACAACAACTCCGACCTACACAGGGCTAATACAGACACCCAGCTTGTTCCCAGCTCAGCTCCCCGAAACAAGGTAGTGTTGAACTACTCCCCCTCCCTCCCCACCAATCTCTCCTCCACCCCCTCCAGGAGATCCTCAGGATGTTTTGACAAGGAGAATCAGTATCCAGGGTGCCCCCTGCCCCCTCCTGATCTCTCTGAAGAGACTCTCCTGGCTCCTGAACATAATGAAGTCTTGTCTAAACTTAGATTTATCTCTATGCTCGTTGACACAATTATAGGTGATGTATATTGAAAATAATTTTTTATAACTATTTTTAATCATAAATAATTTTTATTTATTAGTTAATTTTCCCCCATGACTTTACAACTTTGTATTTGCAGGCGTTGCTCGAAGCAAAGCTGCCCCTCTCTCAGGACTGACTGATTCAACACGACTACCCCCAGATGGTAAGCAACTCCTTCCCTCCCTCGTAATATGCCTTAAACAATTTAACTTATATACTTATGTCATTATATTTTAGGAGGTGACAGCGCACTACAGCGGAGGTTACAGCAGCTGTTATTGTATATGCGCTGTTTACAGCTGTTGTCACAGACATTGGATTATGCGCGAGCAGAGCTCAAGGCTAAACGTTTGAAACCTTCAACAACTGTCAAAAACACACTGGGTAAGTTTTCCCACAATTTTTTTTTCTTTTCTTTATTTTTTATCATGACACTTTTTTTTAATGGGACAGTAAAGAAAAAACTTGTCTTTATTTCAATACTGTCATTAATGATAATTAAAATCTGTATCCTAGACCTTACAACCGATCATTTTTGTCTGTCCATCTGAAATTAAAAGCGTGGAACAGTTCGTCGATATCTGCTCGAAAAAAAACTACGTTTCATGCCATCCGCTCTCAGTTTTTTGCAACTCTTATGAATAATTGTGAGAGTTCATTGAGCAAATTTATTCGTAGATTGTTTTATAATTAATCAAAAGAATTGATTCTTTGTCACAAACTGTGATTTTCTAATCCGTATATCTTTTCAACACAATTGCATAGGCCTGGATATTTCAAACATTGAACTCTGTTATATCAAATAATCTAAGTTTAAAATAACAAAGGTTAACGCCATCAGGTTGCAAAGATATAGAGCTTAGTAAAGTTGAGTTTATTGCACCGAAAATACTCATTTCACTTGCTTAAAGATTTCGTAATGTTTGAATATGTTATCTGTGTAGCTACCCTGAACGTAATGGTTGAATATGTTATCTGTTTAGCTACCCTCAACGAAAGGTTTCGCCACTGTTTATCGATGAGTAAGATGTTAAATGCTGAGAATATTCTCTCTGAGGCAGGAATAGATCCTAGTGATACTACCCTCACAGCAGATAGGTAAGTAACTTTATTACTTCGGTTTAAAGGGAGTGTTCGCGAAAAATGAAAGGGAGTATAGGCTTGCGCCGAAAAATAAGCGCTTTTGATCGCTACTAATGTTACTTCTATCTTATAGACGCAACAGATAGAAGTAAGATTAGTAGCGATCAAAAGCGCTTATTTTTCGCCGTCAACTTATACCCCCTTTCATTTTTCGTGAACACTCCCTTTAAAGGGTACCATTGTTAATCGGAAATTCTACTCTACAGAGGGGGGGGGGGCGGGAGGCACTTGAATTCACATTTACAGCTACTTTAAAGGGACTGAAAGCAAAATCTGATCCAAAATGTGGAGAATTAAGATATCGTCGTTTTTGACTTGAAAAGTGTTTAATTTTAATACTTTTACCATTTCTTCTTATTTATGCGCAAGTCACATTTGCAGAGAATTCGAAATGAGAATTAACAGCTTTTTATTTTATTGTTTATTTTTAGAAAATGGTGGCTTAAATTTCAACAGAAACACTTTTAAGGCTCAAAGAAAAACATGCGCGTAGGACACCTAAACCATAGCATACTTTATTTTCCTGAAAACAAACAAGATTTTGAGCTAAAGAGGATTGCAAGTATTGCTCTGCTTTTCAGAAAAAAAATGATGAGATCATTATTTTGTAAAAAGAAAAATAATGAATCATTAAAGAAATCCTGAATATTCGTTAATAAGATTTTTCCACCTACTCAACAAAGCCAGATGGCATTTTGAACAAAAACTTGAAAACATAACAGCTGTTTAGGAACAATTTTTTTAGAAAGATTGCCATGATTTCCGTTTCAAGTTATATATTCACTAACAAACAAAAACAACTGGAATTTCGACTAGTTAAGGAATAATTTTTTGGCATATCATTTCCCCTTCCCATTCAAGGTTTTATCTACTAGTGGTGTAAATTTTTAAGAATTAGAATTTCAGAATTTTTCAGGAAATTATACACCCCTGCTATCTGTAAAACTTTGAAAAGCAGTAATGTTAAAAAAAATAATCCCTTATGTTTCAAGCAAATTGCTGCGAAAGCAGGTTTGGTTTTCAATTTTTTTTTAAAGTTAAAAACTACTGATATTTATTTATTTATTTATTTATTTATTTATTTATTTATTTATTTATTTGATCCCTAGATTGTTGTACAACCATGCAATAGAACAGTGTCAGACTGCTGCATTAGATGAACTATTTGATAATCCAGGAGAATGTGTTCAGAGGTTAGTTATACAGAAAACTGTGGAAAGGGAAAACAATTTAATAGCGTAATTAAGTGTATTTGATATTGTTACAAAGCATTTATTAAATCACTAATTTAATGTAATGTATCTGTTTACTCTGCTCAATTGCTGTGTTTCCATACTCATTGCACATTGGGCTATTTCAAGTCCTAACTTGAATCTAGAAGTCATCTTTCTATTCCAGAGTTTTCTGGTTCTCACTGTAGTCTAACCTTTGAATACAGTGGGACCCAGAAATGTGTGGAATAGTAAAACGACTTTATAGCAATACTTAAGTGTATTTGATGTTGTTACAAAGCAAATAGTTTTACTCACTAAATCACAAATAAAGTATAATGTATCCAGTGCTTAGGATCCATTTAATTTTGATGCGGTTCCGGATCCTGGATCCGCACTGAAAAAAAATGGATCCGGATCCTGGATCCGCACTGTAAAAAAATGGATCCGGATCCAGGTCATTTCTTTAAGAAATACTTAAATTTTTTTAGCAAAAATTTTTTCTAATTTTTTTTTTTTGGCTTATTTTTATTCTTAAACTTGATGAACCATTCAGAAATGAGGAAATGTTTATTATCTTTTTTTTCTTCAAAAGTTCAGAGTTGGGTTTTAGGAGTAAAAAAGTTGTTTTTGCAGTTTTTGGTTGATATTTTACTTCTTGGATCCGGATCCGTGGATCCGCATATTTTGGCGGATCCGGATCCAGGAAGCCAAAATCTTGCGGATCCAACGGATCCGGATCCTAAGCACTGAATGTATCTGTTTACACTGCACAGTTGATGTGTCCCCGACAATGCTTATTGGAATATTGCAAGTCATATCTTGAGTCTACAAGTCGTCTTCTTATGTCAGAGTTTTCTGGTTCTCACTGTAGTCAAACATTTTCAGACAGTGTGATCAATAAAACTGTGAAACTGGAAAACGACATACTTAACTTATTACAGTGTAATGCACACAGACACATTTCACTTGATAAGTCTATTGCTTAATTGCTTTATGACGACATCAAATAATCAAATTACTTCGTCTTCCAATTCCAGTTTCTAGGTAGCCTCTGTATAGTGTATAAGACCTACTTTAAGCTAACTATTTTACTCTTAGTTGTTTAAACCGTTACAAATTGAGATTTAGCTTCATAAGAAATTAAATTAAATTTTTAAAATGTTGTTTTTAATTTTTTGACGTTTTTTGCGGCAAGAATTTTCATATTTGTTTCCTAGGTATCAGGCTGCTCACGTTCTACTTCACGCACTTCAATTCCAAACCAGTTCTCAGGTATATCTAAATACCTAGCTTGCAAACAATAAATAACAGCTTCTCTTCGCTTACTTGTAAACTTTTAAAATAAATATCTTGTCATCTTCATTTTATAATTATAAACACCGACCAAGGTATTATTTTCTAACTTTTTAAAAATCATATTTTTAAATGCATGATTTTTTAGGAGGATAAGGCCACCCTGAACAAGTACAAAGACGCTGTGGAGAAACGACTCCATATTCTAGAGGAGCAGGGTTATGTTTACGCATACGAAACCATTCTAAACTAGATGCGTCAATCTCAGCTAGATGCGTCAATCGGAGATGCGTCATTCTTCAATGTTGCTTCAGCTAGTTAAAATTACATTTTTCTTCAATCTTGAAATTTTTTTAGAAGATTTCATCTTTCTAATTTCTCTCATTGAAAACAGAAATATGTCTATATTAGCATAATGCTTGGTATAATACTAATATCCCCCCCCATGTTGTATTTGTATAAAGATATACCCCTCCCCCTGCATTTGTATAAGGGTATACGACAGTATTTTAATCTATTCTATAGTCTATACTTACACCATTTAAATATTTATAATATATCTAAAATACATAAAAAATATCGAGTACATAAAACTCACTGTACATAATAAAATAGAAGCTTGTATTTTAAACCCCCCATACTATTATATCGTACAAAGTATTAGTATTTTAATACTTGTACATAAGGTCTTTCTCAGCCGCGCTAGGCCAAAGATTAATGTGTACCCCGTTGTACACGATAATTATATGTACTGCTTTTTATTTAGTCTAATTCTCTTATTTTTTTTGCATTTCGTAGTTAGCAACAATTTTGATTAGTTGTCTGTGGTCCAATTTGAATAATATTGAAAAATTAAGCGAAAATTCATTCAGATCAGATTTGATATTTTAATGCTAAAGGTATATGTAATCCATACTGAAATGTACTTTTAACTCACGCCAAACCAAATCTATAAAACTTAAAATTGCATTATTTATCTCTTTCTGGTGATTTTAGTGTTTTTAGTTTAGTTGCGCCATATTTTTAATAAGTCTTGTGACAGCACCTTCATCTTACATATATTTTCTGGAACCAACCGTAGCACAAAACAAGCTGTAAAGTTTTTTGTATAATGTGTAAGGCCTAATAATAAGTTTGTATTTTAAAAAAAATTAAAAATTCCAAATGCCACGAATCTAGTCCAAATTGGTATTTGTACTTTGTAAATATTATTGTAAATTTAGAAATGCGCCAAATCTGTTGAAACTTGGTGAATTTTTCCATCTAGGTTTCATGGATTTTCGCACGAGCACATTCATGTTACTATTCTCCTTTTTTAATTATTCTGTAGTAGTTGTACACAATAATACATGTTTATTCATACCGCCTTGTATGTACTTCAAGACGTTGTACAGTGTACAGACAGTAGTATACTGTACACACCTTAGTTTGTACCCTCAGTTTAATATTCATCCTGTTTATTCATTCTGGTTTTTTGTTGGAACTTTAATGTTACTTTAAACTTGTCTTTCTTCAACCATACATATAAATGGTTTCATTATTGTTCCGTATATGTTACTAATACTAGTATATGAGCTTTAAAACAAGAAAACAAAATAAAAATTGTAAAATTTGCGTTTTGCTATTTATTTTCGTTAGAGAATAGAATTAGAAGTTTTGAGGAAAAGTAGATGCAGCCAGCCAATTAAATTTTCAGATCTGGGGGCCTTTTTCTTTTTTTGAAATCTTCTATTAAGCATTGCTCCGGATCCATTGGATCTGCAAGATTTTGGCTTCCTGGATCCGGATCCAAGTAGCAATATATCAACCAAAAACTGCAAAAAAAAACCTCTTTTCTCTCAAATCTAAAATCACAAAAGTAAGCGAAAAATCGACAAAAAATTTTGAAAATTCTGCCTTGTCAAGAAAGTCAGTAAATCTTCAACGAAATTACCTGAATCCGGATAAATTTTTTTTCCAGTGCGGAACCAGGATCCGGTTCCGCACTATACATTGAAACAATAATTGTCAATTATAAACTAATAATAAGGTGTGAGAATTAGTATTTAATGATTATTGATTTCATTTTCGAACATATCCCTAATTTGAAACAATTTCCGGATTTCAGCTTATGTCGAGTTTTCGGAACATATCCTGGTTTTGAGACAATTACCGGAATTCATATCAATGTTAATTTTTAAAGTATTTATGCACTTATGAAACAAAACAAGATTATTTGATAGGGTAAAATATATACAAAATGGTAAATAAAACAAACTGTTCTTTAATAATCTATAAATCATTACAGCATTTAGAAAACGCGACAATGTTTCAAATTCAGGATATGTTCGAAAATAAAAAACCTAACATTGTCTTGAAACTGTTAAGAGATTTATTATAAAAAGGAACTCCTTATATAATTTTGATTTTAAAAAAAGTTTACATTTAGGAATTGTTGTCCTTATCATGTTTAATAAAATGTTGGTTATAGTTTCTATTATTAGACTTTTACTCTGGATCCCAAAAACCCAGTCTTTCAATTTGTGCCCATTTTTAACACTCAGTGTTAGATATAGGCAAAGTGTTAGTTTTGGAACTTATGTCCCCTGTATTTAGTTTAACATGCTTAATATATATTTTAGATAAAATGGCAGTGAATATGAATAAAGAATCTGAAATAACCTCTACTGTAGAGGATACATGGTTTGTTATTATACCTGAAGATGAAATAAAGCTGGAAAATGAAAAAATACAAGGTAAACATTACAATTTTGTACACTTGTTGTTAAAGGGAGTGTTCGCGAAAAATGAAAAGGGGTATTGGCTTAATACGAAAAATAATCTGTTGCGTCTATAAGGAGCAAATTGTTAAAACTGACTTACACTGAAGAACGTAACTTCAATACAAATGAAGGCAAGTTGCAACATATAAATCGGATCGTAAAAAAAATCAATTTAATTCCAAACAAATCATTCAGTTATTACAACCGATAATCATCGATAATTTTTCGACGCATTCGTATTTAGTTTATATTTCATAATATTTTCTATTTTTTATGATCTGATAGTTACTTTTATTCCTGTTTCGAGGATTTTTAATAATGAAGACGACATTTTCATATTTTCCAGGAATGTTCGAAAATCCAGCGCCAGAGAAATATCTGTAAAAAAAGAAATAAAAAATATCTTAAAATATAAACTATATACAAATGTGGCGAAAGATAATCGATGACTATAGGTTGTAATATCTGAATGATTTGTTTGAAATTAAATTGATTTATTACGGTCTAAATCGTATGTTGCAATTTTCTCATGTTGTATGGACGCTAAGTTATTCGATATGAGATGTTTTTAACAATTTTCATAGACGCAACAGATAGGAGTAAGATTAGTAGCGATCAAAAGCGCCTTTTTATCGCTTAAGCCTATACCCCCTTTATTTTTCGCGAACACTCCCTTTAATATGATAGAATATATACTTGGAATCATGGATCGGCAATGTTGGTCAAAGACTCAAAAGGTGGTAAATTATATAAAGATGATAATTATCAATATTCAATAACCAGTTTAATAAATTACCGTTGCCCGTGCTATTTTTGAAATTATAGGCTTGGTTGAGGGATAAGAAGATTAGCCATTTAATAAATATATTCCCACTCTCTACTCATAAATATTGTATCTTTTACTATCCAGGAGAAAACATGGTTATTAATGATCTTGATCCTCTACAATCTGAACCAAAGCCAAAGAGAATCAAGAAGAGTCAAGACGGATATCAATGTTCTCAATGTGATTATGTTGCAACAAGAGCAAGTAACTTAAAGAATCATATTGAATGACACAATACGTTCTGTACAGATCCTCAGGGGGAACTCAGAGAATCACAGGGGTATCACATAGACTTTATGAACGCAGCGTAGCTCGCGTAACACACTGATATTTGATTAACTCTTTTAATGCTTGATTAACTCTTTTATGCTTACATTAGAAAGTATAGATAATAAATAATAATTATTTAAACTATTTTAAAAGGAACCTGTGGTAAAGTGTATCTTTAAACTTCCAGAAAAGGTAGTTGTACACAATTTTATCGTCTTTTGAGATGAAAATGCATGAATTTTTATATAAACTTCTCAGAGCGGGAGGTTATTTTACTTAATTTTCAAAGAGAGAACACATGGGGAATCATGGGTTGGCAATGTTGGTCAAAGACTAATTAGGCAGTAAATTATATAAATATGATAATCATCAATATTCAATAACCAGTTTAATAAATTACCGTTGCCCGTTCTATTTTTGAAATTATTGGCTTGGTTGAGGGAGATTAGCCATTTAATAAATATATTCCCACTCTCTACTCATAAATATTGTATCTTTTACTATTCAGGAGAAAACATGGTTATTAATGATCTTGATCCTCTGCAATCTGAACCAAAGCCAAAGAGAATCAAGAAGAGTCAAGACGGATATCAATGTTCTCAATGTGATTATGTTTCAACAAGAGCAAGTAACTTAAAGAATCAAATTGAATGTAAACATAAGGGTGTGAGATATCCTTGTCCTCATTGTGAATTTTCTGCAACTACAGCAAGTTACTTAAAGAGACATGTTGAATTTAAACATGAAGGAGTGAGATATCCTTGTTCTTGAGTTTGCTGCAACTACAGCAAGTACCCTGAGGAGACATGTTGAATATAAACATGAAGGTGTGAGATATCCTTGTTCTCAATGTGATTATGTTGCAACTACAGCAAGTCATTTAAAGATTCATGTTGAAGGTAAACACGATGGAGTAAGATATCCTTGTCCTCAATGTGAGCATGTTGCAAGAAGAGCACAGGATCTAAAGAGACATAATGAAAGTAAACATGAAGGAGTAAGATATCCTTGTCCTCAATGTAAGTTTGCTTCAACTACAGTAGGTAACCTGAATAAACATATTGAATATAAACATAATGGTGTGAGATATCCTTGTTCTCAATGTGAGTTTACTGCAACTACAGCAAGTGATGTAAAGAGACATGTTGAATATAAACATGAAGGAGTGAGCTATCCTTGTTCTCAATGTGAGTATGTTGCAACTACAGCAAGTAACTTAAAGAATCATATTGAATATAAACATGAGGGTGTGAGATATCCTTGTCCTCATTGTGAGTTTGCTGCAACTATGGCAAGTAGTTTAAAGAGACATGTTAAATTTAAACATGAAGGAGTGAGATATCCTTGTTCTCAATGTGAGTTTGCTGCCATAACAGCAAATCATTTAAAGAGTCATGTTAAAAATAAACACGAAGGAGTGAGATATCCTTGCTCTCAATGTAAGCATGTTGCAACAAGAGCAAATGATTTAAAGAGACACGTTGAAAGTAAACACGAAGGAGTGAGATATCCTTGTTCTCAGTGTGAGTATGTTTCAACAAGAGCAAGTATTTTAAAGAGTCATGTTAATAGTATACACGAAGGAGTGAGATATCCTTGTCCTCAATGTGAGTTTGCTGCAACTACAGCAAGTGATTTAAAGAGACATATTGAAAGTAAACACGAAGGAGTTAGATATCCTTGTCCTCAATGTGAGTTTGCTTCTACTTCAGCAAGTCAATTAAAGAGGCATATTGAATATAAACATGATGGTGTGAGATATCCTTGTCCCCAATGTGAGTTTGCTTCAACTACAGCACGTTACCTGAAAATTCATGTTAAAAATAAACACAAAGAATTGATATAGCCTTGCCCTGAATGTGAATATGTTGGAACTTTAGCAAGGAATATAAAGAGCCATGTGAAAAGTAAAATGTTGTCTGAAGTGTTATGTTTTGATTAAGCATGAATGTTTTTAAAGTTAGTTCTACAGAATGATGGTTGCTTGTTTGTTTTGTAATTAAATCTAATTGGAGTATCTAATGTTTTCCTTAAAATTTGTCTATTAACTTGAGTAGATTCTCAAATACAGGGTTACCTCCATAGGATGAGACTACAGAGACGACCTGAAACTCAGAATAATATGAAGATACTAAGGTTTAATTAAGTTTCCTGCTTTTAATGGTTTATTTAATGATTTGGCGAAGAAAAAAAACAAGTTTACATTTGCAGGGAGTCGTGAATATAAGGAAACAGACAGTTTACATTCTGTACAGTCGTCTCTGAAGTTTTATCTTTTGTGAGTAACCCTTTAACCTAATTATTATATGTTCCCATTAATTTAAAATAATTTACAAAATCACACTTTTATAAATTTAGCTTAATACCTGATTGTTATTTATTTTCTGTAATCTGAAGAAAATAATTGTGTTTTCAAAGGATATTCACTATTTGACTGCACGCCTAATTAATGTCAAAATATCCTTAAATAAAATCAAATTGAATTTGAATTACCAACATCATTAGGATAAAGTGTCTGTATTTAGTTTAACATGCTTAATAGATATTTTAGATAAAATGGCGGAGAATATGAATAATGAATCTGAGATAACCTCTACTGTAGAGGATACATGGTTTGTTAATATACCTGAAGTAAAAATAAAGCTGGAAAATGCAAAAATACAAGGTAAACTTTATAATATTGTAATATTCCCATTCTCTACTCATAAATATTGTATCTTCTACTATTCAGGAGAAAACATGGTTAGTAATGGTCTTGATCCTCTACAATCTGAACCAAAGCCAAAGAGAATCAAGAAGTGTCAAGACGGATATTAATGTTCTCAATGTGATTATGTTGCAACAAGAGCAAGTAACTTAGAACGTCATATTAAGTATAAACATGAGGGTGTGAGATATCCTTGTCCTCATTGTGAGTTTGCTGCAACTACATCAAGTAACTTGAAGAATCATAAAGAATATAAACATGAAGGTGTGAGATATCCTTGTCCTGAATGTGCTCATGTTGCAAAAAGAGCGTGGAATTTAAAGAATCATTTAGTAAGAAAACATGAAGGTTTTAGATATTCTTGCTCTCAATGTGAGTTTGCTGCTACAACAGCAAGTCAGTTAAAGGGACATGTTAAAAGTATACACGAAGGAGTGAGATATTCTTGTTCTCAATGTGAGTTTACTGCAACTACAGCAAGTCATGTAAGGAGACATGTTGAAAGTATACACGAAGGAGTGAGATATCCTTGTTCTCAATGTGAGTATGCTGCAACTACAGCAAGTAACTTAAAGAATCATATTGAATATAAACATGAGGGTGTGAGATATCCTTGTCCTCAATGTGAGTTTGCTTCAATTACAGCAAGTGATTTAAAGAGACATGTTGAAAGTAAACACGAAGGAGTGAGATTTCCTTGTTCTCAATGTGAGCATGTTGCAACAAGAGCAAGTAATTTAAAGAGTCATGTTGATAGTATACAGTGACATACACGAAGGAGTAAGATATCCTTGTTCTCAATGTGAGCATGTTGCAACAAGAGCAAGCCATTTAAAGAGACATGTTGAAACTAAACACAAAGGAGTAAGATATCCTTGTCCCCAATGTGAGTTTGCTGCAACTACAGCACGTTACCTGAAAATTCATGTTAAAAATAAACACAAAGAAGTGATATAGCCTTGCCCTGAATGTGAATCTGTTGGAACTATAGCAAGGAATATGAAGAGTCATGTGGAAAGTAAAATGTTGTCTGATGTGTTATGTTTTTGATTAAGCATGAATAGTTTTAAAGTTAGTTCTACAGAATGATGGTTGATTGCTTGTTTGTTTTCTAATTAAATCTAATTGGAGTATCTAATGTTTTCCTTAGATTTTGTTTATTATCTTGCGTAGATTCTCAAATACAGGGTTACCCACAAAAGATGAGACTACATAGACGACCTGAAACTGAGAATAATATGAAGATACTAAGGTTAAATTAAGTTTGCTGCTGTAATGGGTTATTTAATGATTTGGCAAAAAAAAAACAAGTTTACATTTGCAGGGAGTCGTGAATATAAAGAAACAGTCTGAAGTTTTATCTTTTATGAGTAACCCTTTAACTTAATTATTATATGCTCCCTTTAATTTAAAATAATTTACAAAATCACACTTTTATAAATTTAGCTTAATACCTGATTATTATTTATTTTCTGTAATCTGTGTTTTCAAAGGATATTTTTATATCTAAATATGAAATTGGTCAATTACAATGTCATTTATAAATTTGTTTAAAACTATTGATTATAATTTTCAGAAGACTTCATTGTCACTTTGGTAGGGGAAAATGCGGGAAATAGGGGTTGTTGTATGGGGGGGTCTATAATTGAGGTTCCCGACCGAAAGTTGATGACTATTGACATCCCACATGGACCTGAAAAAGTTTTTGAAAAATTTCCGGAAAATACAGGAAAAAATTAGCTGACAAATCTGAGAAAAATTTCAAGGAACAAAGTAAGAAGGCTTCAAGGGCGTTTTTAAGGGGAAAATGCAGGAAAGGTGGTGAAATTGTATTAGGACAGGGTAAAAGGTATTCTGAAAGTCTAAAATTGAGTTAGGACAGGGTGAAATGTATTCTGAAAGTCTATATGTGTATTAGTACAGGGTGAAAGGTATTCTAAAAGTCTAAAATATAGTTTCCTAACAGATGACTATTGACACCCAATGCGGGACTAATACAGGTTTTGAAAAAATGAGAGGAAATTGTTGTTTTCTCCTGTTTTTGTTTTTTTATTAAGAAATAGTTCCCATTCAGGGCTGCATGCAAAAATCTGAGAGAATCCATTATTTAAATAAAATCTTTAAAAATCTTTTAATTTCTAAATTTTTCTATTTTACACTGAATGTACTTTTCAGACAGAATGGCCGAGATTATTAAAAAAGAATTAAATATGGAAGACTTTGAGATAAAAGAAGAAACAATTTCCTTCAAGGAAGAAATCCTTCCCTCCTCTACCAAAGATAATATATGTACTGTTAATCTACATAAAGATGATATAAAGATGGAAAATACAGGAATACAAGGTAAACTTCACAATATTTAATACTTTAAATAATATTTGTTTGATTATATACTGAGTAGACTAGCTTAAATTGTCTAGCTCATTCCCCCCCCCACACATGCAAATTTGATACATACATCTAATTTACATCAAATAAATATTCCTATAAAAGTAATATATGATGTAATCTTAATTTTGAAGGTTAGGTTAGAGTAAACCAATTTCTGGGTTAAGGTTTGAATTTTTTTCTCGATTTATTTTCTTGTTCTTTACTATTATATAGGCCAAAACTAATGTTAAAAAAGTAGAATATGTCTATGATAATTTGATGGGTTCCATGTTTTCCCCTACAGCTATGCTTGTCCCTTCCACCCCACCCTCCCTCCCTCCTTCTCCTGCTCCTCCTCCTCCCATGCCTTTCTTCCCTCTTGTCTATTGTTTACATTCAGGAAAATGTGCAAAAAATCTGCGGAAAATAATGATGTATAGAATTTATTACCTTTTATGGCTAACCATAAAGCAAGGCCACACTGGAAAAATATAACGCCAATAATAGAACTACCAATAATATTACTTACAAAAATGTAACCGGCCAAAAAAATAACTAACCTAAAATATGACCACTTTTTTACTTAGAATATAACCATATTTTGACCAATAAATGTAACTGTTTCTTAAACAAAAATATAATCATTTCTTTTAAATTCAAAATATTACCATTTTTAAATCTAAAATATTACCATTTTTAAATCCAAAATATTACCATTTTTAAACCAATAAAACCATGTAAAGCTCTTTAGGTTTAATAAACATTCAATCAATTTTTTTCGAAAATAGTTATATTTTTGAAAATAATTATATTTTTATTTGAAAAGGTTAGGTTTTGGGTTTAAAATTATTATTTTTGTCCAAAAAAGTAAAAGTTTCGGTCAAAAATAGTTTATATTTTTGGTGAAAACGTATATAATCGAAAATTATTATAATTTTGGTCGAAAATTATTATGTTTTTGGATCGTTATATTATTGGCAGATTTTATTTTTTTCAGTTATATTTTTAGTGGTTATATATATTTTATGTGGGTAAATATTTTAAGTGTTATATTTTCCCTGCCCATCCAGTTCTAGAATAAGTTTATTTCTAGCATTCATTATGAGAAGTGAACTAGTTTTTAAACTAATTACTCCTGAAAAATAATTAATTTCATCATTAGGATAAAGTGTCTGTATTTAGTTTAACATGTTTGATACATATTTTAGATAAAATGGCGGAGAATATGAATAATGAATCTGAGATAACCTCTACTGTAGAGGATACATGGTTTGTTATTATACCTGAAGATGAAATAAAGCTGGATAATGCAGAAATACAAGGTAAACTTTATAATATTGTACACTTTTTGTTAAAGGTAGTGTTTGCGAAAAATGAAAAGGGGTATAGGCTTAATACGAAAAATAATCTGTTGCGTCTATAAGGAGCAAATTGTTAAAACTGACTTATACTGAAGAACGTAACGTCAGGGCAAGTTGCAACACATAACTCGGATCGTAAAAAAAATCAATTTAATTCCAAACAAATCATTCAGTTATTACAACCGATAATCATCGAGAATTTTTCGACGCATTCGTATTTAGTTTATATTTCATAATATTTTCTATTTTTTATGATCTGATAGTTACTTTTATTCCTGTTTCGAGGATTTTTAATAATGAAGA